TAGAAGGGCAAATTTTAGATGTGAGCTGAATGTTTTGACGTAAAATTCTCTGTTTAATTGTCAACGATTCACAGGGTTTTTACCAAAGGGAAATCAAATTTAACATTTTAGGCGTACATAGCTGAATTAGAAGCTTTCACTAGGTCAGTTATGTTTTCACTTTGGCTATTTTTGTATAAAATTTGAAATTCATTGTGAATTGACTGTTTCGTGAATAAACCCTTTTTTAGTTTATTCATGAATGCGGAAATGTAGGGATTTGCCATGAGTTAAATTAGCAATTACTAATCACTGACCTCTGGCACTAAAAGGAACACTATAGTGATAGGAATACAAAAGTTTATTCCCAACAATAAAGTGTAACTATGCCCCAGCAGCCTCCCTACCACGCCAGTCATGAATTGGGCAAAAATAATTTAGTTCACCAAGCTGATTCCACTGTCGATGGCCCTTTCCACTGTATCGGTCTCCTCCTCCTGCAACGTCACGGCTATTGGGGAACCAAATTCGCATAAGCAGTGAGCGCTGTGTGTGCATTAGGCCTTGAATCTATGCTTTCCTAGCAAGCAAAGTGTGAGGATGTCCACCGTCGTCTCATGGAGTTAAACTCTGTGGACGTGCCTGAAGCTCCTCTAGTGGCTTTCTTCTCTAAAATTGGCCTTGTTTTACATTGCGGGGTTACCTTGCATTGAGATGTAGTGATCTGTGTGCCTATAATGTCCCTTCAAAGGGTTATTATTTTATATGAATCTGTATTGTACCACATATATGCTTTACACCCACGTCTGTATAAAAAGGTTGTTTAAAAAAATAATTCGTCAAGAAATAAAATATAACTTCAAAGATTACAAACCGCATATATTCTGTTAACCATTCTTATGGTACTTTTCCGCTCTGTTTTGACATAACGTAAGACAGACCTTTGCAGACAAACCTCTACACTCAGAACGACCTTATAACAAGGCATTATCTTCTCAGCCGAAAGGAAATGAGATCAGCTTCACATGAAAGAGATCTTTATATTGGAGGCTATAAACTATAGATTTATGTATCCAATGACGCTCTGGTTACAGTTGTATTACATGCTGTATTTAACTGTATGTTTAATCATTCTGAGGGTTAAGGGCGATTTTTCCAAGACGTATTGGGACCACCCAGTCATTCTAAGCCCCATTTTTTACAAAGCAGAATTATTCAGAAGCAGATTGAGTATGTATTGATTAATGTCAGAATTGGCTGAATGCCATAATTGGCTGACATTACATCTACCCCATATTCACTGGAAGGATTTTAATCTCTCTGAAGATCTATAGATACTTTTTATTATACTTTTTCTAATTTGTCATTAGTGATGTCCCGAACGGTTCGCTGGCGAATAGTTCCTGGCGAACATCGCTTGTTCGCGTTCGCCACGGATGGCGAACATATGCGCTGTTCGGTCCGCCCCCTATTCGTCATCATTGAGTAAACTTTGACCCTGTACCTCACAGTCAGCAGACACATTCCAGCCAATCAGCAGCAGACCCTCCCTCCCAGACCCTCCCACCTCCTGGACAGCATCTATTTTACATTCATTGTGAAGCTGCATTCTTAGTGAGAGGAGGGACAGTGTAGCTGCTGCTGATTTGATAGGGAAATTGATAGCTAGGCTAGTGTGTTCAGTGTCCACTACAGTCCTGAAGGACTCATCTGATCTCTCTGACCTCACTACTCCCCTCAGCCTCACTACCCCCCACACCACGCTCAGCCTCACCACCCCCAGCCTCACTACCGCCCACACCACCCCCAGCCTCACTACCGCCCACACCACCCTCAGCCTCACTACCGCCCACACCACCCTCAGCCTCACTACCCCCCACACCCTCAGCCTCACTAGCCCCCACACCCTCAGCCTCACTACCCCCCCCCACCCTCAGCATCACCACCAGGCCCGGACTGGCCATCGGGCACACCGGGCAAATGCCCGGTGGGCCGCGATGTCCATGGGCCGAGGCCGGCAGGGGAGATCCCAGGATCTCCCCTGCCAGTCCATGCAGGGCCGGCGCTATCCGAGCGCCGGCCCCGCTATGTTCCATGAAGGGCCGGTGGGGAGATCAAAGATCTCCCTCACCGGCCCACATGTGCTCAAACGCGGCCGCCGGCGGGGAGAGAGGGAGGGAGACAGCCGCCAGGAGAGAGGACCCGGCGGAGCTCTAACTTGCAGCTCCGCCGGGTTTCTCTCGTGAGATCCGGACCGTTGCTATGGCAACCGGCCGGGTCTCGCGAGAGTGAACTCTAGCCCCAAAGGGCTAGAGTTCACTTACCACGAGGACCACCAGGGATGGCTGGCAGAAGAACGACCCCCCCCCCCCCACCCTTCCAGACTACAGGTAAGAATGGAGGGGGGGTGATATAATGTATTTACTATTATGTTTTTATTATTTATTATTATTATTTATTATTATGTATTTATTAGTATGTATTATTATGTATTTATTATTATTTGTATTTATTATTATTTATTATTATGTATTTATTATTATTTGTATTTATTATTAATTATTATTATTTATTATTATGTATTTATTAGTATGTATTATTATGTATTTATTATTATGTATGTATTATTATTGTTTTAGTAAAACACCTACCTGCCTCCCCCCAATACAAAATCCTTGCAAACACACACATCACCCTCACCCAGCACCCTAACACATACACACAGCACCCTAACACCAGCACCCTAACATTGACACAGCACCCTAACATACACACAGCACCCTAACACTCACACAGCACCCTAACACCAGCACCCTAATATTGACACAGCACCCTAACACACACACAGCACCATAGCACTCACACAGCACCCTAACCCCAGCACCCCAACACACACACAGCACCCCAACACACACACAGCACCCTAACACCAGCACCCTAACATTGACACATCACCCTAACACACACACAGCACCGTAGCACTCACACAGCACCCTAACACACACA